TATATTATATACATGCTAACCCTTTTACCTGCTATACTATGACTTTTTTGGTTTTATTTGTTAAACATACTATCACTTTTTTGAATTCCTGGTGTATGACTTTTCTTGTCAGTTGTTGGATGCACTTATTTTCAACATACTTTCCTGTTTCCTTTTTCAAATGTTTATTTGTTTTTACAATTCTTTCGACATACTATACTGTGACTTTTTTTTTTTTAGTTTTTTCCAACATGCAACGTTATGATTGCTATATTATACAGTCCCTCCAGGATCTTGTGGCAAAAAAAACTTGAATTTGCGGCCCAAAACCTTTGAATTTGCTGCCAATTTTGTCAAAAATTGTGATAAAAATTCCAGCATTTTTATGTGATTTTTTTGTGTAAAATTGCACCAAATGACAAAAAAATTGCATGTCAGGTGAAAAAAAATACGTCATGTAATCACTTGCTATAATAATTATACTGAATATTACAAAAACAGCTGCAAATGTTTCAGTTCTCTTCTTTAGTTTTATTTTACAATTTCAAAACCTGGACTCCAATAATGTTGCATAAAATCCTGAGTGAATATTCTAGCTCTCAAACCAGACAATGTGACTGTAAAACATCATGTAAACTACATCTTCTGTAAACATGACATTTCATTCATCTATTTGTTTATTTTTACAGGGACAGTGCACATTAATGAACATTTCTGTAAATGTGCCAGTTTTAGCTGAGTAGCTAGTTTCCAACTGCAGTCCCCAAGCAATGTGTTAAATGCCCGCTAAAAGGAAACAAAAACATTACAATAAACATTTCGTAATAACAGTAAAATATACAGCACATATAAAAGCACATGGATCAGATTAGAAGGCATAATGCACACAGTAAAAGACAAGAAGTGGCACATAAATCACAATGGAAAGCACATCAAGCACATTAAAAGACAGGAAAATAAGCTTCAGCCGGCAGGTAGGTTACATCAGGCAAACAGACAAACATAGTAGCCATGCAACATATTGGCAGGACACCAGGAACAAAACAATACAGAACAGTACAAAACAAAACGCAATGCACATTTAAGCAACATGTAAGCAAGCGAAACAGACAAGCAGATAGGCAGTCAAGCAGGCAACATGGAGGCAGAGAGGCACGCAAGCAGATAGACAGAATTATAGGATTAGTATGGACTACTGATTGTGATCGCAGGTCTGATTATCTTTTAACCATAGTTTTAGAGTGTGTTTGAAGGCTTTGCTTGTTTCAATATTGCGAATGTGTGGAGGTAATGAGTTCCAGAACTGGGCAGCTCGCACTGAGAAGGCTGACTGGCTCAAGGAACTTTTTCTCAGTGGTATGATGAGGGTAGTTGTTGAGGCCGATCTGGTCAGTCTGCTGCTCAATGTAAAAAAGTCAGCAAGTGGTGGTGGAGCCAAACCATGGAGAATTTTGAAAACTAGATTTATGTTGTATAGTGTTATCCCAGCTTAAAAGGATATGCTTGTCCAGGATACTGCAGTGATGGTAACAAAAAGATTTCTTGCCCAGAACTTTTAGGGCTTGCTTATACACAGAATGAATTTTAATAAATTCAACACATATTGTATGCATTTAAACAAAGTGCAAATTCTTATGTCAAAACAGAGCATTTCTCCATACTGCAATGCCATTAGCGTGATTTGATGACGCATCTGATGACATTTCACATGACATTGCATGTGCAAAGACTTCCGGTCAGCCAGAAAATGCAGAAAAATCATGGGACTTTTGATAAATTGCAAACCCCTGCAAAAATTGTGGGCTTGCGTTTAATTTGTCTTAATCATTGCGATTGCAAGATCGAGATTTTCTGGAGGGACTGATTAAAGTATGACTTTTTTTTCTTTTTTCTTTTGGTATGTTTTGCTTGTTTATTTATACAGGCTTTTACACATACTTTACTATGAATGAGGATCATCATGGAGAAAAACTTGGCAATTAAAGAGAAGTATGCCACAGATAGTGATTATTTTATTGAAGTGAAAATACAAAATGGAGTTTGCATGTTCTCCCCGTGTCAGGGTGGGTTCTCTCTGGGCACTCCGGCTTCCTCCCACAGTCCAAAGACATGCAGATTGGGGACTAGGTTAATTGATAACTCTAAATTGTCCGTAGGTGTGAATGTGAGCGTGAATGGTTGTCTGTCTCTATGTGTCATCCCTACGATAGTCTGGCGACCTGTCCAGGGTGTACCCTGCTTCTCACCCGATGTCAGCTGGGATAGGCTCCAGCCCCCCCGCGACCCTCAAGAGGATGAAGCGGTTAGAAGATGAATGAATGAATGAATGAAAATACAAAATGCAGAAAGGGATTATAAAGAATGTAAAGAAATGAAGGTCATGGATAATGTTAAAATGTTCACAAAAATCTAGCACAGGACTTGTGGACATATGTTTGTAAAGTTTGTCATCGCCTCCTTTTCAGACATCATGTCTTGAATTGTAAGAAAGAAGCTCATGCAACAAGTCCAAGTGTTGCTTCCCTTGCCATGGCTGAAACAACTAAAATTTACCTTTGTCAGTGTAGTGAGACGTGTGAGCTCCCTGCTCAAAGTGTTGCAAACACTTTACATCAGGAAAGTATTCGGCCAGAACTGAACATCTAGAGCACACTGGAACAACATTTAACCCTATGGGCCCTAGGCATTTTTGGGGTATTTTTACTGTCTTTACTTTTAAGCTCATATCACAGTCATTATAAAGGCTACATACACATGCTATATCTTGTTTTTTTCAGGACAACGTGAAAACATTTAATGTCCTTCTATGTGCCTGTATTTTATATTAATTTTTATATCAATGAAAAAAACAAATCTGTGTGCCTAAATTCTTACATTTTTACATGTATCTCACCATAGCAAGTTGGAAGTTGACATATTCTGCCATATATGAAGAGGGGAGACTCTCTGGAATCTGGCAATATAAGAACCATGATGGTGGGACATTCTGTCACTTCACAGCTGTCCAAAACATGTGGTTTGTGCCAGGCGGACATGATTGCCAGTATTTTTTCATTATTGCAAGAAATTCCATTGACTCATTCACAAGTCAAAAATGTGTTTTATCTGAAAGAAACATGCAATATTTACATCTAAGATCATAGAAAAATAGTCAACCAAGTGCAATGATGTCCTCCAAGATAATATTTGTTTTTCAGTTTCAGTTATATATTGGGGAGACATTTTGGGCATTGGTGGGGGGGCACGTGTCCCCCTCAATGTATATGGTGACTACGGCCCTGTCAGCATGCTTCATTAGGCTGCAGTTGTCTGGGTGCGCAAAGGTGAAGTGGCTGGTCTTGTCATACAAAGTTTGATGGAGTGTCAACTGGACAATATGGAGATATTTGCATCTTGAAAGCCGGACTACAAATGTGGATAGACAGGGAGAAACACACGCAAGCCTAAGACGTGGTAAGATACGATATTCCTCACTATATGAAGTGACTGATAACAAGATCTGTATAATGGATTGTAAAGAAATTCGTCAGGTTTTTATTTTGTAGACAATTTATCTGTATTTATAGCTTGATTGGATGACAGCACAATGATGTGTGTGGTATCACTGGAAAGCTGCACTTTCATGTGATATGCGTGGCATTTCTGTGCAACCCTGCATTCGCGAGTAATCCATCCAAGAGTAATGTGTATGCAGAGCTGTATGAAAGCTCTGTTCTACATAATTTTAGTGTAACTTTATCATTGTTTTCTTTGTGAAAACATTGGACTACCAACAAGTGCTTGGTCTTGTTGGAAAGCTACAATTCCGCTGTTTCACGTGATATGGCTTCTCGCTATGATGCACGGTCGCGGAGAAAATCAATAGAGAAGAACAGGTGTGAATTTGGACGCACTATGCATCGTTCGGGCCCATAGGGTTAATTGCAAGACACACTGCATTTATGAAGTAACTTGTTTTGCCAGAAGGTGTACAAATGGAGTGTTGGGGCCAACTGTTTGTGTTCCATCAAATTTTGCAGAAAATACCAATGTACTTCAAAGAACAGAAAACTGTACAGCTATGAATATCAACAATGACAAATTTGTGTTTCATGGATAACAGTAAAGTATGTTGATGGACATGTGTTTAAAACCAGTTGATGTGGCCCAAGAGGTCTGTGGTCAGTACTTCAGTTGTGTGTTTTATGTTGCTCCTGCAGAAGGGAACTGTCCTCTCAAAATTTTACTGGATGAAACAAATGAAGCGAAGTGTGCTCAAACTCTTTTCCTAGGTGGAAGAGGTACTTGTGAAGAAATATTGACACTGTCCAAGTATTTTAGTGCAAGCATGCTTAATGCTGATGATAGTTTTTTTTTTAATGGACTACAACTGTAAATTTGATGATGGATAAAAGTTACTCAAACCAATCCGAAGTACACTAATATTTTGGCAAGGTGTTCCAAGACACCTGCCTCCTATGGTCAGACAACATTGAATTCCAACATGGTTTTGCTCCTTCTGTTGATCTCAGGAGGAAAGAAATAATTGAGGGTCTCTTTAAGCAAGAAGGTATGAATAGAAATTTTGGTAATTTTAACTGGTCTCAGAGATGTGGTTTCTTGAGCATAAATTCTGTTACAGCTGCTCAAATGTTTGATCACAAAAAGGTGGAAAAACTTTTAAACTAAAAAAGTTTGCCATGAAATATTAAAAATAAGGAGCAGATAAATGGAGGAATCTGTGAGGTCAGTAGGGCCAGGAGAGGAGGAATTGAAATGTAAAACAAAGGAAACAAAACACACAACTCAGAGGTATGTGGTGAGAGGAGATGTGCCCACAGACTGGCTGTATGAATTTTTTAATGTAAATTTATGTATATATGTTGTATGTGTGCAGTGTGAAGGAGCTACAGCCCACATTTCATTGTGCTGTAAAACAACAAATAAATGAAGCTGGTCACCTTGTTTTATCAGACTCAGTAGAAAAAGTAGAGTCAGTCTGAAGTTTGTAAAGTTTGACATCAGTGAGACACAACAAACAATGATGAGTCAGCAGTATAAAGTCTTTATTCACACACAGTCAGGGACAATGTGTTCAGAAGTTCAGTGTCATAAACAATGATTGATTTGATCATCCATCATTTACATGTTGCCTTTACAGATACGTCGGGGCTGCAGACAGCAAACATGGACACAGAGAGAGACAGAGAGGGGTGGGACATAAAGCAAAGGTCCCCCACCAGAATCTAACCAGGGACACATGGTGGGACAGAACTAACATCAGCTGTGTGACATCCTGTACACACTCAACTGATGTGTTCAGCAGTGAGAAGGTTTCTCTAACAGGAGGAGACTCTCACTCCTACAGAGAACACAAACGCACTGATGACTCAAACAACCACAGCCCAAACCCAGGATAAAGAGGTTCAGTGAATGTGGTGTTGAAGGTGCGGAGGTGGATCAGTGTGTCAGAGGAGACTCTGAAGAAGGACAGAGTGCCAGCAGGACAGTCCACATACACTGCTACTCTACCAGAGGAGGAGGAGGAGGAGGAGGAGGAGGAGGAGGAGGAGAGTTCTATTCTCCTGTTATTATGCCTGACAGAGTAACCACCAGCAGAGCACTCCAGACTCCAGGACTGATGATTCCTTCCAAACACACAGTCATCACTGTCTCCTCTCCTGCTGATTCCTCTGTAACTCACTGAAATATCAACCCCTCCTCTCCACTCGACCTCCCAGTAACAGCGACCAGTCAGACCAGTTCTACACAGCAGCTGCCTCCACCTGTCAAATCTGTCTGGATGATCAGGATATGACTGATCCTCCTCCAAACGTGTCACCTTCCTGTTGTTGTCAGACAGTTTGAGGTTTTTGTTTATTGTGTTTGTGTCGATGGTGAGTTCACAGGAATCTGATGGAGAGAAGAAGACACAATACAGCTGCAGTTATTCATCTATCATTTGTTCAATGATCACTTCCTCCAGGAGGTTGTGATTGCAAAAATTAACTCAAATTCATCCAACCAGGATGGAGCTGCATGCAGGGTATTGATTCTGTATCTCTGTTATCATGAGACTCCTGCTTTTTAAAGATATTTGTTGGGGCTTTATTGCATATATTTGATAGAGTTGTAGTTGTAGTTACAGTTGTAGCATGAAAGGGAAGAGAATAGCATGCAGCAAAGGTTCAAGGGTTGGAATCAAACCCGCGGCTGCTGTGGCAAGGACACAGTCTCTGTACATGGGGCATCTGCTCTACCAGGTGAGCTAGTGGGCACCCTGAATATGAAGTTTTTGATGAATGCATCGCTGTTGTCTATTGTGTTGTCAGGGATGTAAGAAAAGATTAGATTATCACGCATGCTTCATGTTTGAATGTCAAAAGTTTCTTTCAATATTTTGTTTTCTTTTTGATTTATGTCCTTCTGAGAAGTGAGCAGTTAGACTGAGGTGCAGAGGTTGATGTTTTCTCTCTGGAAATTAAATGGTGAGTAAATCTGAGACTCAATTTCAGGTCTTTGATGCTGTGAACATCCTTTTTTTTTTGTCACTGCTATATACTGTCCCTAATATTGGTGGTGTGTGGGTCATTGGTGTCAGTGGATTAATGCTGTCTTTTCCTTTTGGCCGGTTTGGGAGTCAGGTGGTCCAGGTTATTGATTTCTCCCTCCATTGTGAACTGGTGGTAACAGTGATCGATGAATCTTTTTTAAGTTCTCCACACTAAATCGCATATGATATCGTGCTGTGTTGGCTGGGTGTGATGCAGTCAGGATGTTTTTTTTCATATTTGCACATTATATATTATTTGCATAATATATATGCATATTATATTTTGGCACAAAAGTAGAAGAAGTGTTGAATCCGATCTAGCAGCAGGGCACTGCCATGTTGAATGATGATTTCACCACCATAGTCTCGTGATCTCAGCACATCTCAATCCTCCTCAGCCTCCTATCTTTAATCAAGAGCCTGGTTTGTGCAACAATCTTATCTTAATTAAAGACAGGAACAAAAATCCACAGATGTCTGGTAACAAATGTTCTCGTATTAAAGTGAAACACTTCACTAAAATATGTTTCTGAAAACATTTGAGGTGAGAAATAGGCAACACAGTCACTGAATCTTGGTTCATATTTGATCAGCACTGATTAGATTTAACATTTGATCGGAGTTTGACAGAGAGAGGGGGTGGCTCTCTTTCTCTCCACTTCTATACTCGTTTTGTCCATGACATTTCAGGCCACATCAATCCCAAAAAAAGGCCACCAGATCCTGGAGGAACTGATATATTGACACTCAGAAATTTGAATGAGTGATGTCCCAGTTTGAAGATGTTTTGCTTTCATGAATCAAATTAAAAACACACTTACACTTCCTCACACCTGGTCTCAACCATCGGACTCCACCAGGCTCCACCCTGAAAGAAGGAGGGGGGTCAGAGCAGCACTTCCTCTTTCAGCATGCACACATGGACATTACATCACTCTCATACACATATTGTTATACACTGATAAAGGAACAGTCCACAAGGTTGATAACACACTTGAATGTAGCGTCTGAGTTCCTTTAACATGCAGAGATCTGTCCAAACTGCATCAATTATTACCAACAGGCAATTATCATTTTTGTTCCTGGAGATGTTCTCCTTGGAGACCTCCTACACAAATATCTCCTTTTTATGTTCCACCAGTGTTCATACCTGAGAGTGTCCAGTCTCCAGTGTGGATCCTTCAGTCCAGCAGACAGCAGCGTCACTCCTGAGTCTCCTGGATGATTGTAGCTCAGGTCCAGCTCTCTCAGATGGGAGGGGTTGGAGCTCAGAGCTGAGGTCAGAGAATCACATCCTTCCTCTGTGATCAGACAGCCTGACAGACTGCAAACACACAAAACAACACACATGGCAGATCATCTGAGGGTCCTGCTGTGTCACTCAAACACAAGAAGAAACTGTCTCCAAATCAATAACTGATCAATACAATGACTGAATCAGAGAGTTAACTGTAACCATGTCATTGTGATCTGAATGTTAAAGAGTCTACAGTCATGCTAGCAGCTCTGTGAGGGTGTATTAGTTCACTGGGTGTTTTGAGCTACATGATAACATAAGCATGCTAGGATTCTCACAGTGGCAACTCTATCACATTTATTTATTTTATTTATTTATTTGTTTATTTATCAGGGACAATGCATATTAATGAACAGTGAACTGTAAATATATTTAAGTTTAGAATTCATTCATTCAAGCTCTTTAATGGGTTAATGAATCCTGACCTGAGAGTTTCCAGAGTACAGTGTGGACTCTGCAGTCCAACAGAAAGAAGCTTCACTCCTGAATCCTGCAGGTTGTTGTTACTCAGGTCCAGGTGTCTCAGACTGGAGGACTGGGAGCTGAGAACTGAGGACAGAGCTTCACAGCTTCTCTCTGAGAGGTTACAGCCACTCAGTCTGGAGAGGAAATAATGAACAACAAGACAAATGATATTCATGTTGAAATGTTGAGTGTGGACTTGTGGTGACACAGTTTATATGATCTCTTCCCAGTACAGGTTAAAATCATTGCTGTTTTACTCTAAACATGTTGGAGACGTGACAACTAACCATGACTGAAGGACAAATAAACAGACATCCAGTAATCAAAGTCACAAAAAACATAAATGAGTTTCTTGATCTTTACAACGCTGAGGATTGAGGACAGAGCTTCACAGCTTCTCTCTGACAGGTTACACAAACTCAGTCTGAATAGACAACAGTAAGGAAACAAGTTATTTTTCCTCCTGTTGAAAGACAGCAGCAGTATTTATTGATGAATAAATCCCACTTACAGAGCTTTGTTGGAGGCTTTGACCACTGGCAGCAGCCTCAGAAGAGCTTCCTCTGAAGCAGAGTATTTCTTCAGGTCAAACACTTCCAGATCTTCTTCTGATGACAGTAAGATGAAGACCAGAGCTGACCACTGAGCAGGAGACAGTTTATCTGTGGAGAGACTTCCTGAACTCAGGGACTGTTGGATCTCCTCCACTAGAGAACGATCATTCAGTTCATTCAGACAGTGGAACAGGTTGATGCTTCTCTCTGCAGACAGATCCTGGTTGATCTTCTTCTTGATGTACTTGACTGTTTCCTGATTGTTTTTTGAGCTACTTCCTGTCTGTCTCAGCAGTCCTCTTAGGTGTTTCTGATTGGTCTTCAGTGATAGACCCAGGAGGAAGCGGAGGAACAAGTCCAGGTGTCCATTTGGACTCTGTAAGGCCTTGTCCACAGCACTCTGGTGGAGATACTTCAGATTC